CAGAAATTTGGAGGGAATTGCAGGTAATGCAAGAGTTAGGGGTGGCACAGATGATTGTAGCTCAAAGAATTATTCGGTGAAAAACAAACGGGTTGGATTCCAGGGTTAATTCAGGAAAAGTGGACCATTTTGCCATAATTGCTCGGAACTTTGACCGGCATTGCGAAAAAGGGAAGTTAAAACAGAGCCAATTAATCAAAGCGATTTGGAATTTGATTCCAAATCTTGGAAGCTGTACGAGAATAGTTAGGGCTTCAACCCACTTTTAATCACTCAAAAGCTCCAATCTATATTGAGAATGATAAGCAAAGTTCCTCTTGGCAGGTAAACTGAGAAATGGATCCTTACTTTTCGGAGGAAGTCCAAAAATATCACGAATCAACAATTAAAAGGGCCATAAAAAAGATCGTCAATATTAAAGCATGTTCTATTGACCTTGCCTTTCCTAAAACTATCGATACTTTCTTAATCAAAATTTTAATAATGCCTGCGCGTAGCGCTCCTTTTATTCACAATCGATCAAAGAGAGTTTTTGATCGACAGTTCCAAGTCTCTGCGGAATTCATTCGAGTCTACGAGACTTAAATTTATTTAAAATGGCCGATTTACTGACATGTTGAATTGCTTCGGATCAAATTTGTCTGTCTGGCTTCCAGTGGTATTTTACAAAATTTTTATGTTCATTTAAAAAACGCTTAAGCCTTCAGACTGTTAATAGCACCAAAGCTCTGCCCTCTCATAAACGGAAGGCATAATGCTGTTCAATTATTTTAGATCCGTTCAGTTTGAATATGAATGTAATATATAAGAGAATGCGTGGGAACAAATCAAATACGTCGTAAAGATTCCACAGATTAAAAATGACTTACCTTGCTGGAACCATTTTGGAGTTTTAGATTTGTTTCTATCATGGCTGCGGTGAAAGATAGCCATCGAGATTTTAATCAACTTGCGAATCATAAGATCAAATCCCAGACAGTTAAGTGGATCATAGTTTTAAACGACTTTCGTGAATCTATTTCAGCTAAAACCGTCTTCGAGTTTAAATAAAGGTTAAAAATTAATGGAAACCTAAACCTAACGATAAATCATGAAGATATCCAAAAAACTGCACCAAAAGTTCATAAAAAACCGACGTGTAACTGTTACAACTGATTAAATTCTAAATAGATAAAATTTAGCGAAATCCGTGAAATTTGACGGAGACCCTCCTTTCTAGTTGATTGCTATGAAAACCATTAGCCTTACCATGTTCTGCTCTTTCCTCCATATACACAGCTCTTAGAGCAAAATTCCGCCTATTTTCGTTTGAAAGAAAAGTGTCAAATTAAAATAGCATGGTATTTTGTCTGGAACTGAGAGAGTGAGTTAAACCAAATTAAGTCTCAAAAACAATACAATCGACTTACCTGAAATTATTTAAACATGAAGGAAAAAACTTCTTGTTATTTATCTATTTGCAATCTTTATTCAGGTTAGCCCAGTCCAACTTTAAAGCGGGTATAAATGGGGGCCTGTCTGAACAAACTGACAAGGACAGATAACAACACCGGGAGCTACGTTCCCTTCCCCTTGCGAGGAGTGCGTGGGTTCTGCGACGTACCCTGCTGACCAGTACAGAAAAAATGCAGGAGACGAGGACGACGGTTTACCGTCCTTATCTGGAAAGAGGCAGCCTATTCTCCTCAGTTATTTTAAGACCCTGAGTGTTGGTCCGGCCTGGGGCTTGAACCCTTGCACGGCGGCTCTACATAATGAGCTAATGAGCTCTACATAATGAGCGGGCGGTCTACCTCGATGTTCGCGCACAGCATTTAAATGAAATGCGTCCGGCGTCTTAAATACAAAATCTTAAAACCAGAACACGACGATACGCCTTAATAACCAACATCTTTTCGCAAAGGCCTCTTGCTTATTCGCAAATCATCTTTTTAGTAGATAAGGCATGAATACATGGTAAGGAAGTTACTTTTCAATTATTTCTAGAGGTGCACGGTTAAGACAGACAGACTAAAAATCTAAGAAAGAGTTATTAAGAACATTTCATTGAAGTACCATTGACAAAAAACATTCACACACAACATATGCGTAAGAATATCAAGAACACGTTTAATAAATAAAAGTTAGGTTTTGTTCAAACGACAATAGTTAACTTACCACTAAAAAATATTCTCCCAAAGAACGCTTATTTACAGAACCTTCAAAACGTACAACGATATTTACAAATACCGCAAAAATATACTCTACAAACCAGTTTTGTCTAACAGGGGTTTCGATAATTTTTTTGCACTCGCAGCTGCCAATGACGTACTGAGCGATTGTGCCCGGAAAAGGAGCCCTACGGCGAAACTCAAAACTGAGCCTGCTCGCAGGCTCAACAGATGGCGGCAAGAGGTTTTACATGTGGCGGAAGACCGCTGGTCACCGGCTTTTATTCAAACCCTTGTCGTGGAGGCGCGGTGGCCTCATGGTTAGTGCGCTCGACTCCGGATCGAGTGGTCCGGGTTCGCGCCCCGGCCGGGACATTGTGTTGTGTTCTTAGGCGAGACACTTTACTCTCACAGTGCCTCTCTTCACCCAAGTGTATAAATGGGTACAGGCAATTTAATGCTGGGGGTAACCCTGCGATGGGCTAGCATCCCATCCAGGGAGGAGTAGAAATACTCCTAGTCGCTTCATGCTACAGAAACCGGAGTTAAGCACTCGCCTAATGGGCCACTAGGCTCGTAAACAGACTTACACTGTCTTGGTTAACAAATTTTAAGAAAAATGACAAAACTAAAAACTCGTAACGCTGGTTCTATCGTTTCGTCGTCTGAATCACGATTGCTCTCTTGTAGTCCTCGATAGCCGCACCTTTCTTCCCTTGTTTGCCAAAAACGTCAGCCCGTCTTTTGTACACCAGAGCATCGCCGGGCTTAAGACTTAGGGCTGAATAAAAAATATTGAAAGCAGAGAAGTGTAGAGGAAACAGGGATAGCGTGACGTATTACTTAGGGTGCAGAAAATTTCCATTGAGCGTGCAAAGTAATCTGGGATTGCATCGGTTTTGGTTCTTTTATACTTCGCTCACTGATTGGTCCTCACAAACTCGCACCCCCCCCCCTTTGAACCAATGAGATGCAAAACTAAATTCAAAAGGGATTTGGTTAATAGCGTTTTCTCGCGCTTTAGGCAGTTTACTGCTAATCAGATACAATGAAATATATGAAGTTCATATATTTTGAACTGCGGTATTAGATACGATACTAGAGCGATACTAGAGCGCTGCACTAGTATCGCAGAGGTCAGTGGTTCGAATCCCGTACAGGCCTGATTTTTTTCAGGTCTGATTTCCACTATTGCTCAAATTCTAATCTAATCTAATCTAATCAAATCTAGTTTATAATAAACAATAATCGGGGTATATTTAGAAGTTCAGTATAATGTTCACAAATTTACAAAGAGCAGTAGATTAATCTAAGTAGTAAACAATAGTCCGGGTAAAGCAGAGGTTCAGTACAATATTCAATTTTGGTAGCTAAAAATTTAATTCAGGTTCAAGAAGTACAATTACTTCTTTTTGAAGTTACTAATGGTAAGGCTGTTACGGAAAGTCAGAGGGATATCATTCCAAATAGTTGGGGCTTGGGAACAAATAGCAAATTGATACCTACGCGAGAATTTGTGTAAGTTAAAACAAGAGCGAGTTGAATAATCATGAAACTCACGATTGAAATGTAAAAGCGAAGAAAGAGTGGCAGGCACAAGGCGATTGAAATATGAGAAAACAAAACAGGATACATGCAGGTAACTGACTTACCCAATATAGCATCTGTGTCCAGACAGGAACTTTGCTTAAGTTATCATTAAGTGTGGTTTGCGTGTATAGTGTTACATAGCGACTAGGAGTGTTACTACTCCCCTGGATGGAATGGTAGGTCATCGCTGGTTATAACAACAACAACAACAACAACAACAACTAAAACAACAACAACAACAACAACAAAAGCAACAACAACAACAAAAACAGCAACTATAACGAAAACAACAAAAACAACAACAACAACGTTTATCATCCAACTGTGCTTTGTAGAGTACAAATAGCACGCGAGACGAGTACAAATATCGCGATATTTGTACTCCAGAAATATCCGCGAAATTCGCCCGCACTGAAATAACAATTTAGCGTGTTAGATAATAAATCTCTTATTAGATGTTTTCGTTTTCAAAATACAGCACAACTCGTAAAAATGCTCAGCGATACTACACAACAAAACGTCTAATAAATAGAGGATATTACATGACCGCTTGGGGATACGAATTTTATCTTCTCGTGCTGAAAGTATCTCACACGAGTGAGCGCAGCGAACGAGTGAGAAATACTTTTAGCACGAGAAGATAAAATTCGTATCCCCAAGCGGCCATGTATGTTCTGTTTTTTATATAGATACTGATGAAATTTCCTCATAAAAGACAACTTTTTTTAATTCATTTTCGAAACAGCAATTGGGTAATTATGTTGGTAACCATGGCCACACCAATATCCTCACACGTGAAAGATAAAAATAGTATCTTCGCTGCGCGCGGTGAAGATATGATTTTTTTAAGTAAAAGGAGAAATCCTGGTATTGCATCAGTATCTATATAATAAGATATATTTCCTTTTTAATTCTTAAAATTAAAGTTACAACTGATCTGGCTTGCGAATAGCTTATGCAAATCTAGGCGGGTCAGTCTTCAAAATGTAGAAAGACCTAATAAGAGAATCCTAAATTACAGCACACTAATAATTACATAGAAAAATCATCATAAATGCTAAAATCAGAAAGAGGGAGAACGGCTTAGTGGAAGACTTAAAGAAAGAAAGGACTTTTCTGGGCGTGTTTAGATACGTGGGAGATATTACTGAAGGAATAGTATCGTGTATGCTAAGAGAGGAACTTTATCTCTCGAAAATCCTTAACAGTAAATTTTTTATTTTTAATTTGAATGATTTTCTTGGTAGCTTCCTAAGAGTGCAAGGTTACCCACAAGTATTGCATCAAGTTTCTTGGAAATTTAACCGGTCTTCATCTATACCCTTAGGTCGGAAAAGCACAGTCACAGTAAAATGTTTTGTGCAAGAATATGACACTGATGATTTAACCAGGGCTTGCATCACTTGATCCAGAGTGCACCTTGTCGTGCCTCATATATTACCTGCTCGGTTGAAATCTTGTATTGCTCCTCGGGTGTCCTTTATCATCACCTGTACAAAAAAAGATCAAAAATCAAAAAAATTGACATTTTTTTTTTTTTTTAATAATTGTATTTTTAGGTAATTACAGAAAGATATGAAACTTATAGGAAATGAGCAGTGATGACAAAAAAACGGTGTTGCACTTTTACGTTTGACCGCTGTGCATATCTAACGCACCTTCGTGATAGCTCTGTTAAGTACTGCAGATTCGTCTTCAGAATACCAAGACAAAGCCTTGTCGTAGTAGGTTAGTGCCTTTAAAAAGAAAGCAAACCGTAGGTCAATACTGAGTTCAGTTCGAGCATTGACTTCCCTTTACAAGATAGAGTAGTGACGTATGACGCACGGATAAATGTGATACATTGCATGGAAACAGGTGACGTCACAGAGGAACACGAACGTGCTAGCCAGCCCCATGAATGTGGGAGGCGCGGTGGCCTCATGGTTGGTGTGCTCGACTCTGGATCGAGTTCGAGATCGAGCCCTGGCCAGGGACATTGTGTTGTGTTCTTGGGCAAGACACTTAACTGTCTCGGTGCCTCTCTTCACCCAGGAGAATAAATGGGTACCTCG